GGCGGATGCGCAGGAGGACGAGGGCGAGGAGGAACAGCAGCAGCAGCAGGAGCGGGAATGGGAGGAGCGGAAAGAGCAGGAGGACCAGGGGGAGGCGGATGGGACAGGAGCGCGGAGACAACGATGAGGTGGGACTCGAATCCAGAAGAGTGGCCCGCGCAGGGGCGAGAGCCCCACTCCAAACGGCGGGGGCCGAGCGCCAAGCCTGACACGAGGCCCGCGCTGCCACGGGCAAGATCAGCTGCCAGGCTGCGGCTGGCATGCCGAAGAATACACACGCCAAGCCTGCTTGCTCCCACGCGCCTCGGGCAGCTCGTCCCGGCCAAGATCTGCGTCGCTCCGCGGCCCTGGCGGCGTTCTGGCAAAGGCTTTCGAGCCGCGTGCAGTCGCGGGAAAACCAAAGAGAGTCATTAGGAAACGAGGTCGGGAAGAAGCCCCTGAGGGCCAATGAAAGGAAGTTAGAGCAAGGACGTCCGCTTCGGTCGACGGCAACGGCGACGAGGCCGACAACGACGACGGCGGCGGCCGCTGCCGTCGCGGCTAGCCGAAGGCCGCCGAAGGCCGCCGAAGGGAGTAGGTCCCGAGATGGTGGATGAGCCCCTGAGGGCCAGCGAAAGAAAGCGAGAGCGACGGTGTCTGCTTCGGACGACGACGACAACGACTGGGGAAACCAAAAGGTACCGATACCGCTACTCTCCGGACATCTCCAGGGGTGCGTTCCGACCAGAATTTCGAAGCGAATCCAACGGTGGCGACGAGGGCCTCCCAGGAAGCCCAAGAATGGGAAAACGGGCGAACGGTAGAGGGTAGATGGATTTTGGACGAAAAGTAAGAAAAATAGTCTAAAAATAACCCAAAATGGTCAAACAAATATTACAAAAATAGTCCCCATAATATTTTTTTGACTATTATCTAACAGCGAAGACTGATAGGTTTCTATTGGGGTCAAAAGAGAACATCTTGACTCCCCAGGGGAGTCCGGGCAGGATCCGGGGAGAAACCGCGGAAGTCGTTTTAAGCAAACAGTTACACACTTCGTGGCATTCGAGGTCCCAGAACTCCATTCCCGGGCCACATTCTGAATGCCCGGAGCCAACTGTAGGCCATTTCGTGGTCTTCGAGTTCCCAGAACTCCATTCCCGGGCCACATTTTGAATGCCTGGAGCCAACTGTCGGCCACTTCGTGGTCTTCGAGTTCCCAGAACTCCATTCCTGGGCATGATTTTGAATGCCCGGAGCCAACTGTAGGCCACTTCGTGGTCTTCGAGTCCCCAGAACTCCATTCCTGGGCATGATTTTGAATGCCCGGAGCCATCTGTAGGCCACGTCGTGTTCTTCGAGTTCCCAGAATTTCATTCCCGGGCCACATTTCGAATGCTGAGGCAGGCTGAGGCTGAGGCAGGCTGAGGCTGAGGCCGAGGCTGAAGGCAGACTGAGGCTGAGGCTGAGCAGGCTGAGGCTGAGGCTGAGGCAGGCTGAGGCTGAGGCTGAGGCAGGCTGATGCTGAGGCAGGCTGAGGCTGAGGCTGAGGCTGAGGCTGAGGCTGCAGGAGGCTGAGGCAGGCTGAGGCTGAGGCCGAGGCTGAAGGCTGAGGCTGAGGCTGCAGGCTGAGGCTGAGGCTGAGGCAGGCTGAGGCTGCAGGCTGAGGCTGAGGCTGAGGCTGATGAGGCTGAGGCTGAGGCAGGCTGAGGCTGCTGAGGCTGAGGCTGAGGCTGAGGCTGAGGCTGAAGCAGGCTGAGGCTGAGGCTGAGGCAGGCTGAGGCTGAGGCTGAGGCAGGCTGGCTGAGGCAGGCTGAGCTGAGGCTGAGGCTGAGGCTGAGGCTGAGGCTGAGGCTGAGGCAGGCTGAGGCTGAGGCTGAGGCTGATGCAGGCTGAGGCTGAGGCAGGCTGAGGCTGAGGCTGAGGCCGAGGCTGAAGGCAGACTGAGGCTGAGGCTAGGCTGAGGCTGAGGCTGAGGCTGAGGCTGAGGCAGGCTGAGGCTGAGGCTGAGGCAGGCTGATGCTGAGGCAGGCTGAGGGAGGCTGAGGCTGCAGGCTGAGGCTGAGGCAGGCTGAGGCTGAGGCCGAGGCGAGACTGAGGCTGAGGCTGAAGCAGGCTGAGGCTGAGGCTGAGGCAGGCTGAGGCTGAGGCTGAGGCAGGCTGAGGCTGAGGCAGGCTGAGGCTGAGGCTGATGCTGAGGCAGGCTGAGGCTGAGGCTGAGGCTGAGGCTGATGCAGGCCACTGCGACTGTCATTGCGAATGCGACTACGACCTTGAGAACAGCAGAATTCTACAACTGGGTTCTCATCTGAATCTTAAGGGGAATGCTTCCAAATGTGCTCCTACACATCGCTGTTAGGTTGCGTTGCCGGGATAATTTTTGAATATTCCCCCTGTAGAGGGACAGACCCGAGTTAAGACGACGACGACGACGACGACGACGACGACGACGACGACGAGGGCTGCCGCCGCCGCCGCCGTCGCCTCCGCTGCCCGCCGATGGCCGCCGGCCCTGCCCCGAACGGGCGCGAGCGGCCCCGCCCGCCCCTCCTCCAGCACCGCCTGGCGCCCGTCGTCGCCGCCGGCCGCGCCCGCGAGGCGGACCTCCCCCGGGCAGCAAGATCGCCAGTCGGCGGCGAGCGAGGGCTCCCAGCTTCGCGCTTCGCGCTGCGCGAAGCGCGAAGTGCGAATAACTTTGCGCTCTCGCGCCGCTTCCCAGGGGAGAAAAGGAGGAAGAGGAGGAATCGGAGCCGAACCGCGAAGCGCGAAGCGCGAACGACTTCGCGGCCTCGAGGGCGCCCTTGGCGAGGGAGTGGCGGGCGAGAGGTGGAGAATAGGGCTGGATCTAATCGTTGTTTTTCGTTTCGTGCTCGTGCTGTGTGTTCGTGTTGCTCTGCCTGTTCTCCTGTGCATCCCTGCCAAAGCGAGAAACAAAACACGGTCGAAGTCCAGCAAGATAGCGTTTAGGTCCAGCCCTGACGGAGAAGCGGCGAGGGGGATGGGAAAGCAGAAGGGGAAGCGGTGAGGGAGCAGGGTGGTGGTGGCCACTGCGAAGGGGAGGCACCGAGCAGCGCAACACGCACCACGACCACGAGGCGCGCAAAACGATCCGCACCAAAGCACGGAGGTGGGAAAGGGTACACCCTGCGAGGTCTGAAGGAGTAGGCAACAGGAAGCTGCGACGAAGATACGAGGCGAAGGCAATCGCAAAACCATGGCAACCGACCAGGTCCGGGTCCGTGATCCTGGCGCGGCCGCACGCATCACCGAAGCAGCACCCAGACGGGCGGGCGGGCCCGAAGGCGCGAGACGGGGACGCCCAAGGGCAAGGGCGATAATGATAGCGCAGCATGTCATGGCACTGCATTCCGTGATATGGCGTAGCGTAGCACAGTATTTCACTGCGTAGGCTGGCGAGGCGTTGAAGAACACAGCGCAGCCTCGCATAATTAGCCAAGCATTGCACAATTCAGTATTGCCACTTAGCACAGCATAGCATAGCAGAGCGCAACATAGCACCGCGTGATGATGCCGCGCGCACGTGACGAGGGATCGACCTGGCAGGTGATGTATGACACCTTCTCTTCATAAAGCGCGCATGAAAAGTACCATTAGACAACCCGCCGTGGGGAATTATGTGGATCGTTACGCTTGCCAAGTCTGAACAAAGAAATCGTGCCGTCGAGGGCGCGGCGCTGGGAGCAAACATAGTTTTGAAAGCGCGGAACAATAATCGCACGGTCGAGAGTCCTGCGCCCTGGAGAGCGCGAGAACTAACCCTTGGCATCGCTGCGCGCAAGGTGTGTCGTAGCAGCATACATAGATCAACGGGCGGCTTCTAACGCGCGCTGTGCTTGCGTGACACACTCGCACCCTTTGCGAGCGCACGGTGATGGGAAACGAGTGGGAAATGAACAAAGCAGCCCGCGGAATTGGCCTCGGTGGTCTGGCTGCGACTCGGGGCATGGTGGGATTGACAGACAGGCACGCGCCGTGCGGAGCGCGAGAGGCTGGGTCAATGTGCGCGTTATGTTTTGGTTGGGCGCTGGCGGAACGCGATGGCCCGGAGGGGAAACCTCGTTCGATAGGGGGGCGGGTCGAGGCTGCTCTGCTTCTTGGGAAGGGCCCTGCTTCGACCCCACACCTGCGGGCGCTCACAGAAATCCCTCCCCCTGCTGTGCTGCCATTATGTCCTTCTCCTCCTCCTCCTCCTCCTCCTCCTCCTGCTGCTCCTGCTCGCGTTCCTGCTCCTGCTGTAGTTACTGATCGTCCTCCTCGTCGTCTTCGCCGTCGCCCCTCCTCCTCCTCCTCCTCCTCCTCCTCCTCCTCCTCCTCCTCCTCCTCCTCCTCCCCGCATCCCATCCCAAAACGTCGGGCTGACCAGCGAGGGGGGGTGCAGTTTTCCAACACGTATCGTTTCTTCACGGTCCCAAGGGCCCGAAAGCGGCCCCCGGAGGCCGAACAAGACTTGCCCGTTCTGCTGCGCGACCCTTACTCACCACGCCCTCTGACACGTCTCCTGGCGCATCCCCCAGTGCGCCCCTGGCACATCCCGTGGCGCGGCCCTGCCCCCTGCGCCCCGCGCCGTCTTGTCCCGCTTCGGAACTCCGTGGAATCTCGGGCTCGATCCGGAGCCGATGGTGCGTCCCACACGTCTCGGCTGCACCTAGCTCTGCCCGCCCGTCCCAGGGGCCATCCCGAGCAGCTCTCCGCCCCGGATCCCTTTAGCACGCCCCCGGGGCCAGAAGACGGCCCCTGGAGGCCGAGCAAGGCAGAAACCTGCCCGAACCCTTCGAACATCCATCCACAAGGGAAGGGAGTGGAGGAGGAGGAGGAGGAGGAGGAGGCCGAACCTCGAACCTGCCCGCCCTCCCTGCTGCCGCCCCCCCCCCGCGGGCGTGCGGCGTCGCCAGCACGCGGCACGCCGCCCCGCACGCGGGGCCGCGCGCGACCCAGCCGCCCGCGGGGGCGGCCAGCCCCCCGAGCTCGAAGAGCTGCCCGGCGCCGGCGCCGAGCAGGGTCTCGGCGGCCGTGGCAGAGATGGGCCGACGATCGGTCGACAGTCGACGATCGACGACAGACGCGGAGGAGGAGGAGGAGGAGGTGGAGGAAGAGGTGGAGGAGGAGGAGGAGGAGGAGGAGGAGGAGGAAGAAGAAGAGGTGGAGGAGGGCGGACGAGGAGGAGGAGGAGGAAGAGGACGATCGACGATCGACGATCGGAGGAAGAAGAGGAGGAGGAGGAGGAGGAGGAGAAGGAGGAGGAGGAGGAGAAGGAGGTTGAGGAGGGCGGAGGAGGAGGAGGAGGAGGAAGAGGAGGAAGAGGAGGAGGGCGAGGAGCCTGGGAGAAGCCCGTGAACGTCGCGGCGCGGCAGAGGCAGTGCAGGGAGTGGAAGAGGGGCGGGGGGGGGCGGCCGCGGAGGCAGGGGGAGGGGCGCGGGGGCACTTTCACGTGGCGAGGGCTCAAATGAAACACAAGACGAGGACAGAACGAGGATGAAATCGGATGGGGATAAATCGAAATGTTGGCGGTTCTGGTTGATGTCTCGGGCGCCGCGGCCGTCTCGGAGCGCTCTGGAACGCTCTGAGAGCGTCCCAGAACGCTCTGGTACGAATCTACCCTCGTCCTGGCCCCGTCCGAAAACCGTACTGTTCGTCGTCGGTTTGCTTTCGTTGTGTTTCGTTATGTCCCCCTTCCGCCGTTGCTGCAGAAGGTCAAGGTCAAGGTCAAGCCTGTATGCCCGCGATGGGGCGGCCGCTCAGGGCACAGGCGGGTGAAAACTAGCAGGCGCTCACGTGGTGAAGAAAATCTCCGGTCATACAATTCCAAGAATGTGGGTCTTTGGCTGCTACTCTCCAGTCACCGATCCCGTACTTGTCGCAGAAGCACTCGACATCAGACTCCCACGTCTTCCGCGGTCTCCCTTGGGACCTGCTTCCGGCAGCTGTCCATGCAAGCACGCGCGACAGCGCTCTGTCTGCAGGCAGGTTGGCAACGTACCCGGCGAAGTTCCAGCATTGGCGGAACAGTACTTCCAACCAAAGTTCGGCCTGAGTGCCTTGCAACTTCTCGGTAACACGATCGTGCCACACATGTAATATCCCATGCCATGGACAGGCCCAGTCGACCTCGCCTGGTGGCTCGACAACTTGTCGAAGAAGCTTGCGACGCGCAACGCCCAGCTTCTTCCGCTCGGCTGCATAGACCACGCGGTGAGCAAAACCAAACATAGCAATCGGGGTGATGACGGCATGGAAGTAGTTCAAACGCAGCTCAACCGGCACACGCTTTGCTGCGAGGGTCCACCGGCTCGCGAAGAAAGCCCCTGCAGCAGCTTGAAGATGGTATTCCTGGTCTTGCTGCACAACGTCGGTCGACAAAATGCATCCCAGCCATTTGTGAGAGTTCACGCGCTTGATACATACACCAGAGGGGAGCAAAAGCTTGTCCGGCGGTTGCGCCTGGGTAGTCAGGGCTGCAGATTTGTCGGCGTTCAGCATCAGGCCAACTGCGGCGAGCTCCTCAACCAGCGACGCCAGCAGACTCGCAGCCTTGTTTTGCGATTTAACGAACAAATGCAACGTTGTCAGCAAGCCGCAAATCCAATAATCGACGCAATCCGTCTCCCAGGTCAAAGCCTGCTGCCCCGGACTTCCGGCGCCAACGGGCCATCGCCCACTCCAACAAACAACAAAAGAGCCTTGGGCTGAGAACCGACCCTGTCGGACTCCAGCTCGGATGTCAAAAGGGTCGCTGCGTTGAGAGTTGCCTTTCACCTGCCCGGTCTGTTTCTCGTAGAAAGCACCTGCAATATCCATATGAGGCGGTCGGAGATACCGTGCCCGCGCAAAGCCGACCACAGAGCAGACCAACCCACGCGATCGAAAGCCTTCGACAAATCCAAGCTCACAGCCCGAACTGGCACGCCAACCGACCTTGTCTTGTCCAAGAACATGTTTGCTGCCAGGAGGTGTTCCTCGACGCGGTAATCGGCCCGGAATGCGCGCTGTTCTTCAGGTTGGTGTTTGCCCAGCTTTCTCTCTAAGCGCCCCAGCGCTAAATATGCAAATAGCTTGTGCTGAACCCGTGCGCTGACAACTGGCCGGCAATCAGAAACAGCTACGGCCTTCGCACTTTTCGGAAGCATCTGGAACAAGGTTCGTCGCCAGCTCTCCGGGGGAAGCCCCTCCAGCAATACTCTGTTGCACAATGATAGCCAACGGCTCCCGTTCTGCAACCAAGCCAATATCATCAGAAGCTCGCTTCGCGTTCACCCTGCCCACCGCAGCGTCTAGTTCTGTCGCGGAGAACAGGTCACCCGCGAGAGTCTGCGGTCTTGCCGGCGCAGGCGGCGCCCCAGCAAACAAGCCGCCAAGGAATTGAGCAAAGTCATTATCCGATGGTGGTTGGGGCTGGCTTCTCCCTTTGATCTTCTCCAACAGCGATTCGATTTCGTACCAGTGCTTCGAACTCCTCAACATGTCCTCCAATTGCGCTGTCTTCCATGCTCTGACTTCCTGTCCATGCAAGCGCCGGATCTCAAAACTGAGCCGCTTGGATTCAGCATGGTCGCGGGCACGTCTTCTCTGCACCCGGAGCTCCTGAAGACGTGAACTTGGACTGAAACGCATCCTGCGGGTCGCAGTATAGCCGAACTTCGTTGTCGCATTTTGAAGGGCTGCTTCAACTTGCTCGAAAGACGCCGTACTCCCATGTTCTAGCACCCACGTGCTCAGGTAATGTTGGAAATCTTTTGGTTGGCCACTCTCGTCCAGATTTGGTCTCCACTTCTTGAGAGACTTCTGGAGCCGCTTGCGCTTTTCCCCATTGGTAGACACGTCCCGCTGCACCCTCAGCTGCGCAACGCTGTGGACGCAACGATGGCCAAGACCGATTGGCAAACAATTGTCGTACCACGTGCTGTGACAGCGGACCCGGCTACCCGCCAGAAGAAAATCTAGCTGCACCAAAGCCCCGTCCATAGTGCGTCTGCAGGTCCAGCCATGTTCACTACGTTCTGCCACCGACTGCCGGCTCAAGATGCGCAGCCCGTGCTCCACTACGAACTGGACCATCAAACTTCCACGTTCGCTCCGGGGCCCAGTCCCGCAATCGCCCAATGAGTCAGCAACGTCGAAAACAGCAGGTGCGCCAATAGATGCATTGAAGTCGCCGCCAACCAACTGGATCCGACCACGCGCGTCGCAATCCAGAAAGCAGCAAAAACAAAAAGTCGTATAATTCCTGCACAACGTCATCGTTACCCCAAGCAGTCGGAAAGTAACAAGCAACGGCCCGGAACAATTTGCCGCCCAACTGAAAATCTAAAGAACCGAATATTGGAGAGTATGGCTGAAAACGAACCCCAAAATACGTGACGAAAATCTCGACGATATGGTGATGCCAACCCCTCTGCGCATTGAACCTCCACTCAAGTAAAGTTGCCCCCCCGCTGGGATGGATATGACTTCCTGTCGGTCTTTGCGTCAAGCTTCCGAAAAAGAACGCAACATCATATTGTAGCTTGTCAAACCCCTGCAACAAAATCCAGAAAACGAGTCTCTTCCAGGATGCTCTGCAAATTCTTTGTGAACATGCGTATTTTGATGAATTCGTCGTGCATGTCGTGCTCTATGTCCTGGCTGTCCTGGCTGTGGCTGCTTTGGCCATGCCTACCCTGCCAGAGCCCCTAGAGACAAATCTCCTCCACGACCTCCTCAACTGCTCCCTTCAAAGTCTCTCCTGCCGAGTGCTCCCCCTCGGCCCACTCCACGGAAGCGTCGTCCAGCACATCGGCCAGATGCACCAACTTCCGGCCATTGCGCACGTGCACTTTGAAGGTCCTGTAGTTCACGACGACGTTCTTCGCGTCGTAGCCCTCGTGCTCAATCGCGAACTTTCTTATTTTGTTCAAAATCTTTACCCGCCGCCGCTCCTCGACCGACCTGTTTTCTGAGGCCCACAAGCTTGCATCCTTGAACTTCTGGTTCCTGCGATGTTTGCGTAAGAACTTCAAAACCGTCGTGTCCGACACGAAACGGACAAAAGCCACAACGGGCTGTGGGTTCGTGACGCACACCTCCCCCACCCCTTCAACATCGCCGAACACATCCCCGACGTACTTCTCAGCTGCGTCGGCATCAGTCTCTCCGAATCCCCCGACCACGGCCACCGACTTATCGACATCGGCCTCCACCTGTTCATTTTCCCCTCCTCCCCCTCCTCCGCCCCGTCGTGTTTTGATGACTTCCCCCAGGACACCAATACGATGTTCGAGTTTCTTGCGATGTTCACGTTCCTGTTCCAGCTCCTCCTTCAACGGGGCAATGGCCTCCTCCATCGTTGACACCACCACCCGTTCCATCTCCGCATTGCCTGCCCGAATATCCTCCTTGATCATGCCCCGAAGCGCTGCAATCGTGGCCGGGCTCATCTCGACTCTCTCGATGGTATCTGTCTTCAGGGTGTCCGAGAATTGTTGGGCGAGGTCTCGAACTGGAACTTTCGATCGTGCCATGCCCTCCCGATCAGGGGTCCCCTCGACGGCGCCACGTTTCGATGAAGGTGCTCGATCGTCGGCCTGATCCCAAACTTTGAGATAGCCTTTCTTGTAATTACCGCTCAAATCTTGAAACGTGGCACCGTACAAGCCTGCCTCGCCCGTCGTCGACGTCACCTTGTACCGTTCGTACCGTTCGTATGCTTTCCTTCCCTGCCAGTGCGGGTTCTCCTCCTTAAACTGCACCGGAGTTGCCCCGTTCTTCAGAACCGAAATTTGCGTTGAGGAAGGAGGCGTCCTGATCCTGATATCTGAGCTCCAGTTCGGTAGCCGAATACAAGACACCCTGAAGGGAGACCTGAAACAGCGTGTACTTGAGCCAAAACGGCCCACGATCACAAAAACACCGCTTCGCTCGAGCCCTGATCGACGACGAGGGGCGGAGGACAGCCGGCGGACGACCAGCGACCGACGACGGACGATGAACGACGAAGTTGTCGGACGCTTTCGTCGGCTCTTGGCGG